TTACCTCTTCATTTTTTTCATCAGTCTCTATAGGCTTGACTACTTCAGACTCATCCTAGACTATGCTGGCTTGCGAATCCTCAGTGGAGATTTCTACAAGATCATCCTCCTGTTCTTCTTGATTTCCTTCTACAGTTTAAAACTCCGGTGGTAGCACGTAGACCATATTGATTGGCATTGGAAAGAATGAGCCAAATTGTACTACTGGTTGTACCTGCTCCCCTTCTGTGTTGGTCTAACCTGATGCTAGGGATACATCTTCTATGCTGTATTTTGGAACCTCTAAGTTAGTAGGCTCCTTAGTAGCAGTCTGTTATTGGTCTGTCTTGAATACAGACTCTGTTTGTTCAGCCATGAATGCTTGCTCAGCCATGAAGGCTTCGAACATTTCTTCTTCAGCCAATACCTTTTCTTGGCTTGGCTCAGTTCTTCCGTCTGTCTCACTGTAGTCATCATTTTTCATTAAGGCTTTTTCGAGACCTGCCAAACTCGATTTCTCGTTGGCTTTTGGTTCAACATGAACCTTAGTTAATTTCTCTCTGCTAGCACTTCTGTTAATCTTGGGATTAGGCTTTGAACTCTCTCCTTCTTCCATTTGACCTCTTGATTACACCAAAGAGGCACTCCTACCGGTTCCTTCAGATCTTTCTGGTATTGAGTGAACCTTCGTTGGATCTTTCTCCTCTAAGATATGGAGATTAGAGGAACCATGTTTGGTTCCTTTGTCTTCGGGTTTTTTAGCAAGATCTAATTATTTGGAGCCACCAAAAGAGGCTTGATCATTCTGTTTTTGCCTACAAAGGCTTTCCCCTAGGTTGGTATCATTTTAGGTTTGTTCTACATGACAAACCAGTCTGGTGCTCCTGGTATCCATGAACCCACTGTGCCAGTCGTTGGGCCTCCTATTTTTATCTTCGAAGGCCAATCGTTGCCCTTGGTTCCCTATCTCGAGCCAAGTTCAAGCTTATTTATAGCCTTGTTGACTATCTTGTAGTAGTTTGGTGTCTCTTACCTCTCGACAGATTCCTGGCGTTTGGTGGCCCAACCAAGGATGGTTGCTAGCTAAGACCACTTGGTATGCCCTCTTGTTGTAGGTACTGACTGGCCTACGATATTTCTGCACGTCTTTCTAGTACTGTTTCCTATCAACTGGAAACCCCTTCAGCTATTTGTAACTCAGCCTGCACCTAGGACACATTCGATGCATAATTGCTGCTTCGAGTGAGTCATTATCTAAAGTTTCTTCGCTGGAATCATCCTCTTGGCCCACGAAGCTTTACCCACTTACTGGTGAACCCTGTGTGTTCTTCTTAAAGGTAGTTTGACTGGCAACATGCATTTGCACGTTGACCTTATCCAATTCCTTCAAGGAAAGGTTCTTTTCCACTTTTTGGGCAATGAAGTCAAGTATGCCAACATTGGCTGCCCCTTCTCTAATCTTCGAAAATTGATCAATGTCAATCCCCCTTCTCTTTTCTACTTTGGTTTGAAATTTCAGCCTTCCTTTCCGAATCTGCTCTTGAATCTTGTCTCGAAAAACAATATAGTTTTTAGTTGAGTGAGACCAAGACTTATGCCATTTACAGTACATTTTGCCTTTTATTTATTCTGAAGTTGGGATCTTAACTCCCTTAGGCAATTTTAGAAAATGTTAGCAAATGATCAAATATGTCTTCTGCTTTTGATATATCAAAAGAATATTTCCTGTGAAGATCTTTATTTTTAAATTGCTGATCCACAGTAGTATCTTTCTAAATTAATGCTTCACAGATTATAGGTTCGTTTCATATGATCGCTGCTACATCAATTTCAAAATTAGGGTCCCTATAATAGGTCCTATAGGATACGTTACTTCGAACTTGTTCTTCCTCAAGAAAAGTCTCGTATCTAGTGACCTTATAAGTTAGTTCTACTAGGTCTCGAAACTCTGTTGAATCAAACTTCTTTCGAAACCTAAACTCTAGCCCATTTTGGGCCAACCTCACAAATTTAGGGTCAGGTAATATGACTTTACATTTGTTTCGTGCTCTTTTCAATCTAGCAATGAATTGAGCAGCCTTTTCATCAGGCCTATGGTTCAACCTTGCCGAGTCTGCCATAGAAACTTCAAGCTCTGTTTGAAAAAACTGGGCATGAAACACTTCTTCTATTTGTTGCCAAGTTTAAATAGAACCAAGTGCAAGGTTTGTGTACCATACAAAGGTTGCCCCAATTAAAGAGTTTGGGAAGAGTCTCAATTTCATGTAATCATTGTTGGTAAATTTACCACATTAGCCTGTAAATCTGGCAATGTGTTCAACAGTTGATTGGTTTCCATTCCCATAGAGAAGAGCAAAGTCTGGTATCTTATACCCCCTTAGGTATTCATTATGGGTAAGACTTTCTATAAACAGGGGTCTAGAACCCCCGGGGCCTAGGTCCACAAATTTCTCTAACAATGTCAACAATTTGGTCCTTAAGCACAACATTCTGTGCTGGCTGGGCCACTATTGGAGGAGCAAACACAAGGTTTGGAGGAACTCCTTGTGCTTGAGGCCCTATTGGTCCATGTAAAGGCATATTTGGGGTTGGTTGTCCCTAACACTGTTGTGCTGGTTAATGTTGAGGGTATGGCTGCCCCCTTAGGGTAGGCATTTGTCCCACAAAAGGTGCTGCGAAAGGAACTATTGGAGGAGGAACAAGTGTTGTTTCTCTTCCAGCTACAAGAATTCCTTCCAACCCCTTAGGTGTAAGCTCGAACACAGGATTAGTGAACACCCGTGTGCTAGGCATGGGTTCAAACACGGGATTTTTGTCTAGTATTTTGCATAAGTTGTTTATCTCGAGCCAATCTCTACTGAAGTAAGTTTATGTTCTCTTTAGCCTGTCTTATGATAGGTGGTTGATAAGAGCTCATTTGATCCAAAAACGATGTTGTCCATCTTTCCATTGTTTCCATTAATTGTTGTCCCATAACATCAACCAATCCTCTCCATGGATCCATTGGTTGGGTAGATGGAGCCATTGAAGGTCTAGTTTCATGGCCTTATCCAACATTTTGGACGTGTGTTGCATATCCTGAAGTGCTAGTCTCTTCGACCACTTGTGTAGGATCACTTGAAGCAGGCACATCCATGGGATGTGATACTACATTATCCTCTAGGTTATGGGTGTCTAAATCTTCTTCTACATCTTCTTCGAGGCGTTCTTTTTCTCCTTGTCTCCTACGTCTAGCCATTATAACATATCCCACAAAGCATGCCAAAAATATATGTTGGTTTTTTTGGCTTTCGAAGGTTAGAAACGTAATTGGAACGTGCTAGCAATGATCAGTAAGTCCTTACAAAGATAGTAAATATCAACCAATTAATCAAACGATTGCTTCGAAGTTCTTTTTAGCCTCAATGAAGAGGATTTTACTAATAGCTCGTTAAGAGAAAATTTAGAAGACTGATCACAGAAGTAAAAGAAAGAAGAAGAAATAGTGTCAAAAATCAAATTTCATTAAGAAAATAAGAGTTTACAATTGTACCTTCACACTTTTACAGCTTCGAAGGGGTTACAACAATAGACTAGCTTAGAACTACTCCTAGAAATTTGAAATGTAGTGTAGGAAAGTAAAAGATTGGAAAATGTAAAGTAAACAAACTAGTTTTTGGATCTAGTTTTGGGTCCCCTCACTATCAGCCTTCTCCTCTATTTATAGGCTTTGATGATAACCGTCAAAGTGGATGATAACTGTCGAAATAATCTCCATGATCACTGGACATGGCTTTGAACAGTTTACTTCCACTGCATCACTTTTGCGGTTGGGCTTTCTTCCTAAATTTGAATTTAAATTGTAAGCAACCATTTAGCCACGTCACCCTGTGTATCTTGATTGTTTTAGTGTCTCGCAAATCCATCGCCATTGATACAAGTTTTCATGTGTCTGTTGATGACTGAAGACCTTCACTGACTCCCCAAATTACCCCTTATAAACCACATGTTAGGCTTTGATTGGCTTGAATATATCGCCAACAGCCATATTTTTATCTTTTTGAGTTTTTATAATGATTTTTCATGTCTTTTTGTAATTAAATTTTAGTAATAAAAATATTTTTCATTTCTTCCACTATTTTTTTTTTTTGTCATTATATATTCGCCTTGGGACTCGGAAAACTCAGGAGCGGCCATGCATTTTGGTCATGATTCCTATTGTTGGTGATGTCACTTGTGTCTCTCCTAGGATGTGACTAACCCTTCTTGCTTCATTGGGAAATCTCTTCTCTTTTGGCGAGTAACCCTTGCATGAGATGTGAAGTCAAGATGTCTGACTATTTACTATGTTCACATCTCTCCTAGGCTTAGTGCCTTCAGCCGAGGAGCTGTAGATTTCTTCAGCTCCGACAACTAGTCTTTTAAATTTCATAAACATGAGTAGTTAAGCCAAAGATTCAATTTCTTTTTTTGGAATATATTTCTCAATTGTTTTGATTGTAAATTTCATACACATAACCTCTTCAATTGCATGTGCACCGTTCTAATTTTTTAAAGGAGGTTGGAGAGAATTATTTACGCTTAAATAGGTTCATCTTAGGACCCACTTCAATGATCTAAATGATTCATTTATATGGATTGTCAAGTATATTATTTATGCAAAAAATAAGACAATTAGATATCGATAATTACATGATCATGTTACATTTATTTTTCAAAAAATGAGCAACAATTATAATTTTAAAAATAAATTGTCTATTTTTTTAAAACAAATGTGTCTTCATCCTACGACTATGAATATTCAATAATTATAAATTTTTACATTAATGATCTACTCAACAAATTTTTTAAAATGAACAGTTTAGATTATTAAAATGAATCTTAAAATGAGTCCATTGACACCCAACAATAGTGCTCTCATTGGAATTTAATTCTTTTTTTTAAAAGGCAACATTTTGCGTTTGTATATAATTTTCTTAGTTTGTATAACAAACAACTCTGTCATAAATTATTCCATCAACACATATAGTACAAATAAATTTTATTCCTTGTACCATAATCTGTATACAACATAAGTAAAAAGAAAGAAAGAAAAAAAACACAAATTAATTTCCATTAGTAGATCCTTATTTGGAAATCGTTCAAAACAGTGGCCACAGAACTCTTACTAGATCCTGACCTTATTTGCACACAACAATATAAAAAACATCTCTATATAATCTCACACAGAGAGATTGATTCATCTCTTGCATACAACTCCTCTACCATCCATTCCACTCCCACAATTCAAATCACCATACTCGAAACCGCCTGACGAATTGAAGCTCCCATTGAATCTCGCAACAGCGCAATCTACAGCAAAGAGGCTCGAAGATCCAAATTCCTTATGACCGCCCAAAACCGGCATCACAACCCCCATCTTCACCTTGCTCACATAATCGCCGCCGTAAGTCTGCCCCAAAACGCCATTAACGCCGCCGCTGAGCGAGTAAAACTTAAACCCTAGGTCTAAATGTGCGAAACAATCCTCTTCGGTGACTCCATAGTTATGCACTCTCGAATCTTTCTCAGTAATCGGAACAACATTCGCTTTTATTTTGAAATTCTCTTCGACTTCGATCACCACTGAATTGGCATCGCGAGATCTGGTGATGGAGACGCCGGAGACGGCGGAGGGCTGCCAGGTGGCGCCGGAGAAGGCGGAGAGGAGAACCGGTTCGCCGTCGAAGGAGAGGGATAGTCGGTCGACAGAGTCGTCCCAGATTGGGGTTTTTTGGGCAGCGATGGAGAGTTTGTGAGAGTCGAAGAGGATTCCTAGAGATTGGATCCATGTGAAGTCTCTCTTCATGTTGGATTTGCGTTTGCCAATGAAGTGAGCGTTGATGTGGAGATTGGAATCGGTGACTATGCAGAAGTCTTGGCCCTTTTTGCCATGGAAGTAGAACGCGATTCCGTCGGCGCCCACGAAACGTGGGTCCTGGCAAACTGCTCCCGGCCGATTGCAGTCTGCGCGGGTAATCAATTTCAAAAGTTTAAATATGTAATTTTTTAGTATAGTTTTTTTAATGATAAGAAAAATAATTTTAAAAATTGATATGGGAGACATATTTTTAGAATTTGTTTTTAAATTATCAATTATATGGCAAATAAGCTCTTATCTTGATAATATGATTAAAGAATTAATAATTGGATATTTATAGAATTACACAAAAAATACATATGAATAGATAAGATTTACGAGATTTATTAGTGGGATGTAATCACTTTTAAAATATGTATTATATGCCATATCTAATTTTGTGACAAATGGTGTTTGTAGACTTATTCTAAACAATTAAACAAAAAATTGATTTATACAAAATATTAAAAAAAAAAAAAAAAACAAGATAGAATGAGAAACTTACTGCAAACAGGACTGCATGTGACACAATCAACCTCACATTGCTCTGGACAAGCAATGGGACATGTAAACTCTCTCCAATAGCACGCTTCATAAGCCTTATTCACGCATCTAGCTTTCTTGAGATCAGTCGAAGGTGGCGGAGTTAAAGGTGGCAACGGTGGAGTAGAAATAGGAATAGGAGGAGGTGTGGGCACATTGGAAGGAGGAAGTGGTGGTGACGATGTAGGAACACTAGGAGGAGGTAGCAGTGTAGGAACCTCAGTAGGAGGTGGCGATGAAGTGGAGATTGGAGTAAGTGGAGGTGTGGGCACACTGGAAGGAGGAGGTGGTGATGAAAATGTAGGAACACTAGGAGGAGGTGGCAGTGTAGGAACCTCAGTTGGAGGTGGCGGTGGAGCGGAGATTGGAGCAAGTGAAGGTATGGGTACACTGGAAGGAGGGGGTGGTGGTGAAAATGTTGGAACACTAGGAGGAGGTGGCGGTGGAGTGGAAATAGGAGTAGGTGGAGATGTGGGCACATTGGAAGGATGAGGAGGTGGTGGTGATGATATAGGAATACTAGGAGGAGGTGGTAGTGTAGGAACCTCAGTAGGAGGTGGCGGTGGAGTGGAGATAGGAGTAGGTAGAGGTGTGGGCACACTAGAAGGAGAAGGTGGTGGTAACGATGTAGGAACACTGGGAGGAGGTGGTAGAGTAGGAACCTCAGTAGGAGGTGGCGATGGAGTGGAGATAGGAGTAGGTGGAGTTGTGGGTACACTGGAAGGAGGAGGTGGTGGTGATGATGTAGGAACCTCAGTAAGAGGTGGCGGTGGAGTGGAAATAGGAGATGATGGCAGTGGTGGAGGATAAGGTGTATGAGGAGGAGGTGGTGAATGTGGCGTTTTTTGTTTTGGTGGCGTTGGACTACGATGAGGAGGTGGTGAATGTTTTGGTGGTGGTGGACTCCGAGGAGGATGTGATGAATGTGGCGTTTTTTGTTTTGGTGGCGGTGGATTACGAGGAGGAGGTGGTGAATGTGGCGTTTTTTGTTTTGGTGGTGGTGGACTACGATGAGGAGGTGGTGAATGTTTTGGTGGTGGTGGACTACGAGGAGGATGTGGTGAATGTGGCGTTTTTTGTTTTGGTGGCGGTGGACTACGAGGAGGAGGTGGTGAATGTGGTGTTTTTTGTTTTGGTGGTGGTGGACTTCGGGGAGGAGGTGGTAAATGTGGTGTTTTCTGTTTTGGTTGTGGTGGACTACGGGGAGGAGGTGGTGAATGTGGTGTTTTCTGTTTTTGTGGTGGTGGTGGCGGCGGCGGCGGCGGTGGTGGTGGTGGAGGCGGCGGCACCGTACACACAGCTTGACAAGTAGCACAATCCACAGTGCAATTGCTAGGGCAATCCAAAGGGCAAAAGAGATTATTGTTTTTCTGACAAATAGGGAAATTCTTGTTTTTACACTTGATATTTTTAGGTGTAGGTGCTTTTGGTGCTCCGTCAGCCACCGCCACTATGAGGAGTACAAGACACACAGAGAGGGGCACCATAGGTTGAGCCATTTTGATCTTTGGTGCAATTAGAATTGGTGGGAGTCCGTGTACATTTGGGTTCATAGTAACTCAGGTTTTTATAGATGTTCTAAATTGGGGAAGGCAAATGTGCCCTTAAATCTAGCATATACTAGTTGTCCACTTGCTCTCATCTTTCCAAATTCCAAGCGAAGTGTTCCTTGCTTTGGTAATTCAAAAGTTCCAAAAGTCAACCTTAAATGCTTGATGCTTGGTGAAGGGTTTTTTGTTAACTAAAAATGTTAGAAGCTTCAATAATTTTATCTTATATTTGAACAAATATCTTATATATCTTATATAAGTGTGAGTCCCCACTCATGTGGGATTTTATGGAACCTACACTAATATGATACATTTGGTCAAATATTTGATAAATTTTTTGATATCTCTATGATAATTCTTTATTAACATGTACCTTAAGGGCATATCTTAACAATGCATTAAATGAGAACAGTTGTATCCACTTATATGGAATGAAAGTAAAACGTTTAAAAATTATCTAAACTCAGTAAATTCTTTTATAATTAGACCAAACTAACCTTTTATTTTCTTTCCATTTTACCCCTTCATATCCCTTTATATATACATATATATATCTTTTTTGTAAAAAAAAAAAAAAAAGAAATAGTTAATTTGATAAAAATAAATTAATGTTTTTGTTAGTAGTTGCCAATAATTATTTATTTATTTATTTATGAAATTTTGATTTAGATTTATTAAAATACACTTCTATTTAAATGTATGTTATCGGCTTACACTTATTGAGTGTCAAGGCAGAGATTTATTTGGTTGAATTTTTAAAAAAATATATTTTTTTAAATTAAAAAATTAAACTTTTTATTTCTTTCCATACAAGTGGGTGTAATTGTCTTTATTTAATGCATTCTTAACTAAGCCCTTATGACACATGTTAACAAAACTCTTAAGGGAATAACTCCTTTACAAATATAGAAATTATTAAACACATCATATAGATAAAATTTTATGGGGCATTTATTTTGTGAATTTATGCTACATTAAGTCCTAGATAAGATTTGTTACTCTTTTAAGTCCCTTTAATTTTTAATAGACAAAATTATCCTTCAAATAATAATTGTTCTTCATTTGTAATTGTTTATAAATAAATAAAAAATTATGATGATGTGACATTTATTTTGATTTTTAAAATTTCAAAACATCATAATTTTTACAATATACATTTATTTTTGATAAAATTTATATTTCTAGAATCAACACATCCATCAAATAAAACTAATATTAAACATAAAATTATATAAAAATAAAAATATGTTTTTAATATAAACTTAAAATTTAAACTATTTTTAATAGTCAGTTTTCTTAACTCACTTAACTAATAGTATTTACTTGGTCTAATTTTTTCTTATAAAATATATGGAGTTAGTTGAGTTAATTAAGAGAAAATTTCATACAAAATTGAAAAAACTATCATACTTAAAATGAAGAAGTTACACTAAAAAATATTATAAATCATCCAAAAATTAAAAAATTAGGTTGCAACTATGAAATTTATCTAAAATATATGATTCCTAATATTTGAAAAAAAAAATAGTTTGAAGAAATTTCTCAGTTGACGAGACAGTTATATAGAACATTTCTGTGCAAAACTGAGAAATTTCTCAAATTTTTTCAATTTAAAAAATAATATTTTTAAAACTGAAAAAAAAAACTCTCAGTTATAAAATTGGAAATAATTGAGAAATTTTTAAAAAAACTAATAACATTATCAGTTAATACTGCAAGATACTAAGAACTTTTGCAGTAAAATAGATAGTTTCACAAATTGAGAAATTATTAGTTTCGTATAACTAAAAAAAAGTATTTTATTTTATAAAATTTTATATTCAATATTGGTCTTAGATAGATTTCAATTGTGTAGACTCTAAAATTTTAATTTTTATTAAAAATAAATGTGTATAATAAAATTTAAGAAAATTTTAAGTTTTGAAACAACAAAATAAAAATAAATGCCACACCAGCAATGCCCACTTGAATAAGAGAAATTATCTAGTTCTTTTAAGATATGATTAGGTGGTTATCAAAAGATTTGTAATTGGTGGAGAGGTTAGGGTCTTCAATTTTGTATTGAGGCATAATGCATAATACTTAGTGATTGGTGGATAATATTGTCATGTGGTGCGTTTGTAAAACTTAATAATTTTTTATTAACACTCAATTAATGTTTCTCAATTCTCAATTTCTTTCGCTTTTTGATAAAAGTAAAACAGTCATATATATAAAAATATTTTTAAAGTCTTTATGAGTTAGAAACAATGAAGAAAAGACTTAATTAAATACTAACCGTACAAATAGGACTGTCAAATAATTAATCCATAAAAAAGATGGCTGGCTACACATTGCAAAGGAGTAATGGATTTCACTGCCTAAACTAATTAGAATGAAAAAAAAATGGCCCACAATGACATATGCTTTATTGGATATGTGGTAATTACTCCAAAATCGTTCATAAAACTAAAAACATGGAAAGTTTTGACTTGCTTGCAAGTATTCGGATAAAGCCTGCTCAATTTGCAGCCTACCAATGAAGAGTGTTCTTTTCTTTTTGGGTCCAGTTGCAACATTTTAATCCAAGAAATTTTAATAATTCTATGTATGAAAGGTGACCATTAAAAAGAAAATTTTCTCTAGTACTCAACAGTACCAGTCCTTTACAACTGTGATTATATATCTATAAATATATTTATTCAAATGATTATACATATCTAAACATATCAATGCGTGACTATAACTCTTGGTTGTAAAACATTCCTTAATTTAATGGGCTCAAATTAGCTCCTCTTACAGTATGAAAGGTGGCCATTAAAAAGAAAATTTTCTCTAGTACTCAACAGTACCAGTCCTTTACAACTGTGATTATATATCTATAAATATATTTATTCAAATGATTATACATATCTAAACATATCAATGCGTGACTATAACTCTTGGTTGTAAAACATTCCTAGGTGTGAAGTTTGAAAATTCAACAATATTAGGAATTGAAATTCTATCACTTTAGCACTTCTCCATCTCTTTGCTGAAGTGTTCGAATCTCTCGAAGAAACTTTGAGAAACCGGAGCTAATGGCAACGAAGAACAAGTTCAGACAACTCTACGGTGATGAAGCAATTGGGAAGGTGATTTCTATGACATCAATCATCGAATCACCAACTGTTAGTCAACTCTGATTAAGGGTAAATTTAAGGGTAAATTACATTAACGCTACTTCTGTTTCTTTGAAATCACACTGACATCCTCTCTATTCTCTGAAATCATACTAACACCCCTTGTTAGTCAACTCTGATTATTATTATAATAAAATTATTATATTACCCTCATTTCATTACTTAATTTTCAAGTAAATCTAGAGAGAGAAAGAAATAATAAAAAAAACCACCTCATCCCCAACCAACAGTCCCAAAACCATCCCAACAATCTCCTCACTTTCACTGCCCCAAGCACTCGACCCACTATCATTCCTAAATGTCAACTCCATAATCACCAACTATCACTACTCTTTCAACACCATACCATTACCAGCAGATTCAACCACCATTGTGATTGTATCATATATATATACATACTAGCGGTTGGCACAAGTAATGCGTATACAATTTAAATAAGTAAAAATAAAGTAGAATATTTATCATTTATATTGGATTTGATTCAAGTAATAAGAGTTTTCTTCGTTATACTATTTGCTCATAGTTCAAGTCTCATATCCATTATTTGTCTAATAATGTTTTTTAATGACAAAATGGACACTTGGCATTAAAGTGGACGATGGCACCAACTAAGACGATCCCTTTATTAATAGTATAGATTGATATATATCAGTGGCATATATATACCTATATGTATAAATTTGTATTTTGTATTCCTAATTTGAACAATTATAATGTGAACATATTGCGCTTGCAAATAATTTTGCTCCGTTTGTGATCCGAAATAATTTTGCACAGAATGAGACCAATTTTGGGTTTCTTTTTTTGGGTTTACGTTACTCAAGGGTGAAAGAGATCAAAAGTTTGTATTTTATATGTGTGTATATATACAAACAATTGAAAAACCATTGTGCTTGGCTCCACTGAACCTCTTTCTTCTCTTTGTTTCTCTTTACCATTATGACAAATTTGTATTGGGTTTTATTGAGTGTTTTTGGACCAAGAAACTAGGAACAAACTCATCATTTAATACAATAGGAACACGTAGATTTTCAAAAGCAAACTACCCAACCAATCAATGGGTGAACATAATGTGATGGACACAAATGTATATGTGTTACTCTCATTATAAGATAAACTTGTATCAAAGAAGAAGAAGAGAGATAAGGAAAAAAGAGAAAGTACACAGTGGGTGTCTGTTATTGTTTATAGACAGAGGTAACAAGGAAAACAGATGGTGTTTGGGAATAAAAAAATATAAAAAATAAGAAAGTTTGGTTGTGGGGATAGTCTAATCTTGAGAAGAACAATAATGCTACGCACACAGAGGGCCAAACACAGAAATTGTTCATCCGAACAACCAATCGGATGACTAGGTGGTCAACGGACGACAAGATGATAACTGCAGTCGACAAGCTCTGGTTACGGTCGACAAGATGACAATTGCGGTTGACAAAATAATAACCATAGTCAATAAGCTCTAGCCTGTCAACCACCTGGTCATCCGGATGAACAATTTCTATGTTTGATTTTGTACTTGGTCCTTTGTATGCATAGCATTACAGTGAAAAGAAAATTAATAAAGCAATTTTGACATTTTAAATTATTAATCCAACGACATCAACAAAGTTATTGAGTCAACTCACAGTTAACTAACAGATGGGTGCAAGTGTTAAATAAAAGCAATTTTGACATTTTAAAATATTAATCCAATGACATCAACAAAGTTATTGAGTCAACTCACAGTTAACTAACAGATGGGTGCATATGTTATATAAAATTCTAAGGTGGGCGAGATTAATGATATTTCAAAGAATAAAGGGGTGATAGTGTGATTTCAATAGAATAGAGAACGTGTTGGTGTAATTTACCCTAACTCTAATTTATGTGCC